TTGTACAAGGACTCTGTAATTAAGTTCTTTATTCACTGAGAACAGATTTGGGAACACAAAGGGTGTGGGGGCAGGGAGTTTGGGGGGAAGGTACAGTTCAAGGATGCTCTTGTTTTTAATTCCCACATCACTCATCACTTTGTTCTTAAATAAAGAAGTCTAGGATACAGTAAATAAATAAATAGAAGAAAAAGAAAATCTAAACTGTATTGTCTAAATTTCATCATAGAGTACTTTAATATTAGTTTCTCTTTGGTTTTTATCTATGTCAGAGTTTCAGTCTCACTCATTTACCATTTTCATCTTCTGGCCAAATGCAGAAATTACTTCTCTTGGAGTTCCATTTTCTGATAATAACAAAATTTATCTTCAGGCCCATTTGGTGTGAATTTTGTTCCCTTTTATTTGCCTATCAAATATTTGGTTTGAATTAATCATAAACTTAACACAGTTTTAACTCAAGTTTTTTTCTCTACCTCATCTTTACAGAAGTTACTACCATTTCTTTCTTTTTAATGAAACTGTGGAGTCACTATTGATTTTCAAAATCTTAATTGTTGAAGCCAGCTTGGGTCTGTATTCTGTGATTTTCATTATTGTTTCAAAAGTAAATATGCCCCATGGTGTTCAAATTACTTTACCTATCCTGAAGCAGCACCAGATGGCATGGGGTAAAAAAAAAAACAACAACATAGATGTGTAATGGACGGCAGGGAAGCTATTTTGAAACTTAAAATGTATCATTAAAAACTGATTATTACTGGGGGGCCTGGGTGGCTCAGTCAGTTGAGCATCCGACTCTTGGTTTCAACTTAGGTCGTGATCTCGGTGTCATGGGATTGGGCCCCAGGTCAGGCCCCTCATGGGGCTCTGCGCTCGGCATGGACTCTCCTTGTCCCTCTCCCTCTGCTCCTCCCCCTTTCCCTCCCACCTCTTTCTCAAGTAGGTAAATAAACAAAATCTTCTTTAAAAACCCAAACTGATCATTACTATTCCTAGAAAAACTACTCACTGTACTTTTCTCCCTTATTTCTGATTCCTATACATGGTACGTCTTCTGGTTTGAAGCCTAACAATAAAACAATCAAGTATTTATTGTGGGAAATATGTTATTTTTCAGGTGTATTCATCAACCTTATGACCTAGGTACCTCTTGGTAGCTCTGAACTCATGGAATTTTACCTAAATGTGTATGTCTGACTGACTGACATTGATGAGTGAAGCAGTTGGAGAGTATTGCTGCCCTAACTACCTAGCTATGTGGGGGCAGGTGTTCATCTCTGTGCTTCAGAATCCTTACCTGTGACGTTCTGACTTAGACTGGATAATCTCCAAAGACTTCTTCAGCTTAAAACTCTTGAGTGTAAATTCTTTTTCCAACTTCTTAAATAGCATAAACTTTTATATCTTTTAAAAAACTTTTCTGTATCTTTCTACCTTACTTATTTGATGCTATGAAACCATCAGAATGTAGAGAGCAAGTCATACTTTTCTAAAAAAGAGTGTATCATGAAACTTCATAAATTGGCACTTTAGGGTTGTAGAGTTGTAGATAGTGTGCTATTGCGTAGATATGCTGTGTCTGCCTAATACACATTTTTAGTTGATTGGGTATTTGCTAAAAGTGGGTAATTTAAATTATCTACCTGTAATTTAATTCTTGTAGCTCTCTTGTTTTTAATCTCGCAAGTGGTTAGTATGCATTTAAATGAAACTATGAATTGGTATGTAATATAATTTACATTTTTAGTAGTTAGGTATTAAACTCTTACTATATAGTTCATGGGTATTTGTTACAAAGTGGATGTTGCAGTTTTTAGTACTTTCTTGCATAATCAGTTCAGATTGCATCAGCTACACAAAATTTGGTTGTGCCGGTGTGCATGGAAAATTTCCAAAGAATAGTTAATGGAGGGGATGTGCAAAATCAATTAAGTCATGTGATCTATATTATGGGGTAGGAAGCCTACTTAAAGACATGGCTAGGATGGTAACTAGACTTGTGGTGATCATTTTGCAGTGTATACAAATATCGTATCATCATGTTTTACACCTGAAACTAATATAATGTATGTCAATTATACCTCAATTAAAAAAAAAAGACAAGGCTAGGTTTAAGTCATCTAATGAGCAAGAAGGAGAAACAATTTCACTTCTCAGAAGGATTAATCTATTTTTACCTTAGTGACTAAGTTTTCCCAAGAAATTTCTCTAGCAATTTAACTACTTACCTGCTTTCATCCTGATTACTTTAGTTTGGGATATTTGACTTTCTAAGGGCTTTATCAACTTTCTGTTGTCTCAGAGAAGTCATTTAAAAAGTGGTTTTGTTTCTTTTCCTACTTCAGTGCATTTGACATCTTTCTGGAACACTTTTGGCTTCTATGATATAATATTCTTGCTCTGAATCTACTTCCAGGTTAATTTTCTCTTCTTTAAGAGCTAAGGTCACTTATGCCTAGTCACACTCCCTTGCCTGAATAGAGACTGTCGGGAGGGGTCATCCAATTAAGATTCATGCAGAGATGTGAGGTCATCATGCTCAGATCCATGGGTTGTTTATTACTGGCATCCAAAAAAGAGGTCTCCTTTCTGCTGGGGACCAAACCAAATATATGTGTTTGGGGACAATTGCACATCCAAGGGAATTTCAAGCAAAAGTCACATGAACAGATGAAGATAAAACAGGCTTTATTATAAAAATTAGGACCAGAAATGAGATGCTTCACAAACCACTAGCATAGTTAACCCAGGAACCCAGCCTGAACTGGGAAGAAAGTTATAACTCTCATAGGGAGCCAGAGAAGGATCAGAATGAAGCATAAAACAGCTAAAGTCTCTAGAACAAGGCAGTTAGCCATTACAATATGAAGTAAAATAGCCATTTTTGCTCTTTAAAATACTCATTAAGGAGTATTTTTCTGTTTTGATAATGCCCTGTCCTTCCATGCTTTAGGTACTCTTCCTCTTAACCCTCTCTCATATCCACTTATTTTCTAGTTCCAAAGCCACCTAATTCACTTCTTTATCCCCTAAAGTACCAATACTCAAAGACTAATAATGACCTCTGTTCCTACACATTTACTGCTTGCCAGGCCCTGTTCTTGGTGCTTTAACATGGTCTCATCTTTTTTTTTTTTTTTTAAGAATTTATGTATTTATTTGAGAGAGAGAGAGCATGAGCAGGAGCAGAGGGAGAAGCAGGCTCCCCACTGAGCAGGGAGCCGGACGTGGGACTCAATCCCAGGACCCTGAGATCATGACCTGAGCCGAAAGCAGACGCTTAACCGACTGAGCCACCCGGGTGCCCCTAGCATGATCACATCTTGTTCACAAGATCAGTATTATTATCTCCACTTAATAGATGAGGCAGTTAAGCAATCACTTACTCAAGATTATATAGCTAGTAATTATGCAACATGAATTTGAACGCAGGCTTTCTTAGGTTTGTGATTTTTTTCCACTTCACTTCATTATAATGCCCTCTTGTTCCTTCCTGTAATCTCTCCTCTTTCAAGGCTTATTCCCACTTAGAATTACTTAAATATTATTTTCTTTGTTACTTACCTATTCAAAAATGTAGAATCACTTGGTTATTTTTTCTTCATTTGTAGATTCAGCAATTCAGAGCTATTTCCAGACCTGCCCCACCTTTCCTCCTGTGTCGTCATCCTGCTCTCAAGTGGCAGTACTTCATGGAAGAACGTTCCTTTCTCATTACTGATTGCCGTACTGTGCTGTACACCTGGAGTACTCATTACCTTCTGTGCCTTCATCTTTCCTTCTAATTTGGTTATCTTTACCACTGACATTCCATCTTCCTCCTCTCCTAAAAATTCTTGTTCAAACCTTTGTGATTGAACCTATTTGACTGTTAACTTCTAGGTGACATTCCTTCTTCCCTTATGTATTCATTGTGTATTAGATTGCTGTGTATTTGGATTGTTACGATTGTATATTGTTTCATTAGAAACAACTATGTAGGGGCACCTGAGTGGCTTAGTCAGTTAAGCGTCTGCCTTCAGCTTGGGTCATGATCTCAGGGTCCAGGGATCGAGCCCCACGTCGAGCTCCCTGCTCAGCAGGGAGCCTGCTTCTCCTTCTCCCTCTGCCATTTCCCCCCTTGTGCTCTCTGGCTCTATCTCCTCTGTCAAATAAATAAATCTTTAAAAAAATTAAAAAAAAAAACTATGTAAGCTTCTTTCAAGTGGATACTGTGCCCTTTTTCTATTTCACATTACCTCAAAGCACCTGGTAGAATTTTTGATCCAGAGATCATTTAAGCAATACTGACTAACTTGTTCCGTTTGAAGTCTACATTTTAATCAGACAAAACTAACAGTGTGGTCATGTATAATAATTTAAGTCCTGGTACTGGCATTAAAAAAATGATAATGATTTCTTCGAAAAGCTGGTGCATCCAAAATTACATTCTAGCCCTAAAACCAAATGGGCTAAAACAAAGTAATCCTGAACCCTAATTATATAGGCTATGATTCATTTTGCTTAAGAACTGTGGTATTGGGGCGCCCGGGTGGCTCAGTTGGTTAAGCAACTGCCTTCAACTCAGGTCATGATCCTGGAGTCCCGGGATGGAGTCCCACATCGGGCTCCCTGCTCGGCAGGGAGTCTGCTTCTCCCTCTGACCCTCCCCCCTCTCATGTGCTGGCTCTCTCTTTCTTTCTCTCAAATAAATAAATAAAATCTTGAAAAAAAAAAAAAAACTGTGGTATCCACCATGTGAGGACTTTAAGCATGTGGAGACAGTTAAAATATTTAGGTGTTGAAAGGTATCATTTCCCTCTGTGATAGAATAATTCCCTTTTCTCACCCTTTTTCCTTAACCTATTAGTCCCACCAATGGCATAAGCTAGCTGCATGGCAAATACACACTTGTACTAATACCTAAAGTAGCCTTTGGCACTTCTTAAACATGAGAGATTGAGGGTAATTCTTGGAATTCTGCTAGTCAGTTTTAATCCTGTGTTTTCTTTCTTTAGGTTTCCTGAAATGCAGTTTTTCCAACAAGAAAATGTGAGAAAAATTCTTACAGATGTTCTTTTCTGTTATGCTAGAGAAAACGAGCAGTTGCTTTATAAACAGGTAATGAAAATATCGTACAGGTGGCATCCATTGACTCAAAATTTTCTATACAGCTTGACAAATGATAGAGCAATAATGTAGCCTTTATTGTATCCAAAGTTGTATCATAATAGTAAAGCAATCAAAGAGCTGCTTGTCAGCTGCATGGTGAGAAAAGTAAGCTCATTGAAGCACATATGCTTCTTCCTTATTATAAGACATTCCACCAAATTGTCTTCTATAAGGCGTTCAATCTTTTCTTTCAACTTTTGGGAGTTTGTTTATAAACAGCATCGTTGAAGCCAATCTAGTAATAAAACTTTTCGGAGTTGTATGTATAAATGTTTCTAAATACAGCATTTTGAAATATGTGACATGCCATGTAAAAAATAATCAGGTGTCCTTCTACTCTTTAAGATTTACTGGTAATATAACTTCAAAAGTTCCTCTAAATTTTTTGAAATTTATGATATTCTTTGTTATCCAGATATTCATCCCATTACTAAAGGAAAGAAGATGAAGATTGCTGGATTATGTTTTGCTCTCATTGAAATGTAAATTATTTATTTAATATATAAAGAAGATCTAAGTTTCTATTTAAGCTTATGGTGTTCCAATAAAAATACAAAAGTTGGATATTTTTATGTATTTCTCAAAATGTATAGTAAGTGGGAATTCAAACCAAATTAATAAATTCTCTGACAATCAAAGGTTACGATGTATGTCCAACCAGTAACCACCTAACTTCAATGTAATATACAGAAAACACCTGTATGGCTAGAGCAATGTAGATTTTTTTTTTTTTAAGTTTATTTATTTAAGTAATCTGTACACCCAGCATGGGGCTCGAACTCACAACCCCAGGATCAAGAGTCACACCCCTTCTGACTGAGCCACCCAGGTCCTCCTTAGAACAATGTATTTAATTTGAAATATACTTGATCAGTTTAAAGATAATATACCACTGATGAATCACTGAACTCTACCTCTGAAACTAATAATATACTATATGTTAATTAATTGAATTTAAATAAAATAAAAAAAATAAAGATAATAAACCAAGTCATATTCCAGTTGTCCTAAATAACATATTTGTTATTATATACATAAAATACCCAAGGGAACTAATTTTATCTTACTTTTAGTATTACTAATACGCCTTCATATTAATTACATGGTGATAATCACCTTTTAGAATGGAAGATGGAAAAAATATATCCCATTCATAATGGCAACCAAAACTTTAAAATGTCTTAAAATAAGCATAACAATATAGGTGCAAAAACTATGTGAAGAAAACTATAAATGTTCTTGAAGGATGTAAAGCAAGAGTTAAATAAACAGAAAAGTGATAGTATGTAGATGGGAAGGCATTAAATAAAAATTTTACTTCTTCCCAAATTAATATATAAATGTATTATCATTCCAGTGATAATCTAAGAGAGAGATGCACTTTTTAAAAACTGGACATGGTCATTTTAAATTTGGTGCCAAAAAGCTTTACCGTAATTTTAATGGAGAGAATACAGCTTAGTGGTTAAGAGAACTGGGTCTAGTCCTAAATCTGTTATTTAAATATCATCTCAAACATTTACTAGCTACATAATCCTAGACAATTTACTTAAATTTTCTAAATCTTAGTTTTATTGGCAGTAAGATGAAGGCAATAATAGTACTGACTTTGTAGAATTAAAAACACATAGTGATCACTAAGGGTTCTTGTTGGTATTTATGGTGGTTATTACTATTATTATCATTATTAAATATGTTAGAGTTGCTACAGAATGTAGTGGAAAGGGAGAATGGCAAAGGGAGATATGAAAACTTCTGTAAGTAGTCTGTGATCAAGCTAGTATGACATTAGTGTGGGAATCAACATAGATCAGTGGAACAAACTAAGAACAGGTCCAGTTATATATAAATTCTTAATATGATAAGATAGGATATTTTCATTTAATGGGAAAAGGATATTGATTTGCCATGTTTGACTTTCCATCTAGCAAAAAGATTAAAGTATACCTTTATTGGAGAATAAACTCCAGGTGGCATAAAGATATAAATATGAAAACTAAAATTTTTAAGATTTATTTATTAGAGAGAGAGAGCATGAGAGGGGGGAAGGGCAGAGGGAGAAGGAGACTGCCCGCCGAGCAAGGAGCCCGATGTGGGACTCGATCCCGGGACTCCAGGATTATGACCTGAGCCGAAGGCAGTCGCTTAACCAACTGAGCCACCCAGGCGCCCGAAAACTAAAATTTTTAAATGAAATACTGGAAAAAATTTAGGAGAGTTTTTTATAATTTCAGGGTTGGAAAGACCTTTCCAAGCAAGATAGGCTCTCCAGAAGTCAGATACAAAGTTCAAAGACCAAAACAAACCGAAAAGGAGACTGGGAGAAAATAAGTATCAGTGTAGGACTTTTGGAAGCAAATAACAGAAAATCCCATTCAGAATGACTTAAACTCGAAGGAGGTTATTAACACACTTTGCAAGAAGTCTAGGGGCAAAATGGTTCTGCAGCATTAGTTAGTTCAGTAGTTCAGACTCCTTTCTGTTTTTCTCTTCTCTCCTCATTGTGTTGGCTTCTGTCATCAAGCTTATCTCTTCATTGTGCCCTTTCTTCTTCTCAATATTTGAAAATACCTCACAGTAAAAGATTTGATGATAGCAAACCAAGTCAGAATAAAATTATCCCAAGTTATACATTTGTTTCCCATTTTTCTTTAGAGAAAGAAAAAAGTCGATTAAGGAAGTGTTATAATAATGGAAACAGGAACAAAAACATGATAACTGCAGTCAAACATTTGTGATGTATGTGGGCCACTGCATTTCTAAGGAAGACTAGACAAGAATAGGGAAGGTCAGATTCTTGATAGTTTAGACAAAGTCAATCAACTACTGTATAAGAAAGTATCATTAATTTACTCTTGGGAGTCCCTTAATAAGACTTAATTACTCCCTCTACATGTTTAAAATCCTATAGATTATTTACATAGAAGTAATACCTTGCTAAAGAAGGACTGAATATTTAGCCAGATCAAATTTAAGAAAAAAACCTTGAGTTTCATCACAAGCTGTTAAAGCTATTATTTTGTACTAGGTGACACCCCGTTTAACATCGACCATATTGTTAATAGTTATGGGATTTTATTGAATTAATGAGACTGTTATCATGTAGTAGAATGTCTTGCTGAGTTAATTGAAACTGCAGAGATTATATAAATGGTATTAATGAACTTTGACTGCCTGATGCCTCAGCTTTAATAAAGACTGCTTGGTGGGCTAAATGAACACAGGCAGATAAAAGAACAGGTTCAATTTTGTGAGCCTACAGGCTGTTGATGAAGAAAACTTCGTTACCTTTATTTTCAACTGGCATGAGTTTGGAGTGCAGTGACTACTAACGATCCAGCAGGGATAAAGGCTTTAAGCAAGCAGAAATGCTGATGGTATAGATGCAAGCAAAATACACATTTTGGGAACCAATAACTATACTAGCAATCTATTATGTTTTATTTTGCTTTGTCGTATTTACAGCATATTGAATTTATGATCATTCTTTCTAAATAGTTCTCCTTTAAAGATGTTTGTACATTTGCCACTTGTAATTATTAATCAGGTTTTACTAGTCTAGCATTAAGAGTAAAACTAACAATCTCTTCCAAGTCTGAGAAAATATCTCTAGTTTAGTTGGAAGTCAACAATGAATTTGTAAAAGGTTGTCTTAATGATATTCAGGGGACTCTTAATTTCCATTACACAAAGAGCACCCTTATTTATTGGTTTGAAATATGATTTGTTATTCTATTTCATTTTTCATATTGTAGTTCAACATTTACCAACATATTGCTATATGGAGAGGTAGATATTTAATCAGTCAGTGAGTACCTTCTATGTGCTGACCCTGTAGTAGGAGCTGGATTTTTCTATCAACACATAGACATCACTTACCACAGTTTCTAATTGTATAGTCACTTCTCTGCTCATTTTATTATCGTGTATCTTGCTCTCTAGACTGCAAGCTCCATAATGGTAAGAAACTTGCCCACTTCATTCACTTTTGTGTTCTCAACATTATCATAGATAGTTAATAATTTTTGACATATGAACTTGAAGACAAACTTTACATGAGCAAGTGGAGAATCTGGAGAGAACAGTATCGCAGAAACTAGAGGGAAGAGAAAATTTAAAGAAGGTGGGAAGGTGCATTTAGGCAAGTACTCATTCTTATTAAACCAGCCATTGGTTAGAAAATACCTTGAGGGGGAAAAGACCCAATCAGAAGATCACCACCACCATCAGCAACAACAAAAACCTAGTAAAAAACTTAACAGTTTACAAACTTCTGGATTGGAAAATCTGTTGTTCTTTAAAATATCTTCTTCAAGTTGATTTTAATGCAATGCCAGTAAAATTGCAATATTTTGTTTAGCATTTTATTTAAATGATACTGAAGTTTACCTTCTAATTAAATTAAAACAGGCAAAATAACTTTGAGAAAAAGAAAAGAAAATATGGCAGAATAAAATGTTTTACAGCTCAAGTCATTAAAATAGTAAAGTTCTTGTTAAGAATGTACAAACCAATGGAATACCGGTAAAAGCCGAGAAAAAACGAGCACTAATGATTCAGTGTATGGTAAAGACAGCATCTCAAAACTCTTGGGAGAAGATGGGTTATTCAATAATTAGTTGAACTCTTTTGCAGAAAAAAATACAGATTTATTCTTCAGGACAAAACTAAATACCCGATTGGTAAAGAATTCAAGCTGTAATAAAGAAAAGTATGTACTCATCTAATCTCCATATAAGGAAAGCCTTTTCAGGCATGAAAACAAAACAAGAAGCCATGAAGGATGATGTATTGATTTAATAGTTTTAAAGTATAGAGATTCACGATGACATAAGATACCACTATTAAAAGACAAATGATAGGGGCTCCTGGGTGACTCAGTTGGTTGAGCATCTGCCTTTGGCTCAGGTCATGATCCCAGGGTCCTGGGATCGAGCTCCTCATCGGGCTCCCTGCTCAGCGGGGAGCCTGCTTCTCCCTCTGCTGCTCCCCTGCTTGTGCTTTCTCTCTCTCTCTGTCAAATAAATAAAATATTTTTTTAAAAAAAGACAAATGATAAACGTGGGGAAGTGTAACAAAAATGACTACAGGTTAATATCCCGAATTGGTGAAGAACTGTAACAAATTATCAGGAAAAAGGAAACACTTCATTAGGAGAAAATGGGCAATTCATTAAATAATAATGGCCAATAAAATTTTTGTGTCAGTCTCACTAGCATTTCAATAGGGTAAAACAACCATTTGACTATGAAGTTTTATAAGATTTTTTTTTAAGATTTTATTTATTTATTTGACAGAGAGAGACAGTGACAGAGGGAACACGCTTAATGACTGAGCCACCCAGGCACCCCGAAGTTTTATAGGATTTAAAAACAAAACAAAACACTACAAGTTAAGATGTGTGAAGTGGCAATTTTTATGCCCTAAAGTGAGGGAATTCTTTCTGAAGGGTAGCTTAATTGTATATATCAGAAACTTTAACAAATTTCTTTACTCATTCACCCAGAAATTCTACTTCTAGGGACTTTATCCTAAGGAAATCATAGAAACAGGCAAAAAGATTACAAGATATCTACCATAGTTTTTAATTTTTCTTTCTTTCTTTTGGTCAGTCTGTCCATCCTTCCATTTCTTCCTTCCTTTCTCCTTTTTTTTTTTTTTTTCTGTAGCTACAGTAATTCTTACATTAAGTAGCTATTACTTTGATGATTAAATTATAGCATGTGGTTTTTGGAATAATTTGAGATTATTCCAGGAGAATAAACACCTCATATGATTTTAAAGCAAACTTAGCACTTAATTCCATTTTTTCTGTGTCTCTACCATGTTCCTCTAAGGGATAGTCAAATAGTTGTCTCAAGGTTTGTTTAGTAAGAAAATGGTTACTTAAAAAGATTGAAGTGGTGTGTGGTAATTTGTCTTAAATCACCAGAAAGTTGTTGGTGTGTCATAAATTATTTTGTACAAATGTCAGTAAGTCCTAATTCAAGTCTAGTGATAACTTACAAATAAACTCCGATAGAGTTTACTTTCATATTATTTTGTGATGATCACTAGCTTTTAAGAATGGCATGGTACTTCTAGAATGTACAGAGGGTTATGTGACTGCCCTTCCCATCATGGGAAGTCTCTACTTCCGCCAGTGAAACTCTCTTTTCTTTGCTTCCATATTTTATTTTTATTTCCTATTAAGGTGGTGTTTTGTCTTATATTTTTTTTTATAAAAGATCATCCAAAGTTATTAAGGAAAAGGAAAATGATAATTTAAGAGGCAGAAAAGATTGTAATCTATATTTAACTTGCTAAAACATGTTTTCGGATGCTTAAGGGGGAAAAATCTTATAGTTAACAAGGCACATTACTAATGTGGAATACTTTATTCTCCACAATAATGAATAAATAATGAATTTTTATAATATCCTTTTAGAGACACCTTAGTAACCAATATACTTTTTTGTTTCTGTGCCTATTCATGTAATCCACAGGTGAGCACCAATTTAAGGAAAAAGCAAATACAATTGGTGAATTCACTAAATAAATTGAACAGTAACCTTATAGTTGAAGTAGACAGGAAAAAAATTATGGTAGTTTTCAGATTAAACATGTTGAAAATCATACTTTGAAAACTTTGTTTGCTGTTATACCTGCTAAAGATTGTTTCTTTTATTATCCAACATTTCCAGCTAGCTGACTTCAGCTCTTCCTAAATCTACAGACATCCTAATTTTGAGCCATTATATAATGAAAACATTGGATGTAATTTCCTTAGGTCTACAGTTCTTAGTTGCCCTTCTTACTGCAGATCTTTACACTGCAGCTCATGATTATAATTTGCATAAGTGAAATTCATATTTATGAGTACAGATCGTGAAGCAACTGACAGGTGCAAGGTTGTCTACCATGCCAATTTATTGTTTGTTGTGTCATTTAAAAGAGAACTGCTCTCCATGTTTTAAAGAAGAATTTGTGCTATGGTTGAATTGGAATCAAATTCTAAAAGTAAATAAAATCTCATTTTGTAGCTTTTCATTTTATGCATTTCAATGAAATATGTAAATGGTGGTGAGGATCAGTTGAAGAAGCATTTAACTAAGCCTATTCTGTCCACTGGTGGACTCTCAACATCCATCCCCTCTCATTTCTCTTGCTCTTATGTTTCAGGGAATGCATGAGCTGTTAGCGCCTATAGTCTTTATCCTCCACTGTGACCACCAAGCTTTTCTTCATGCCAGTGAGTCTGCCCAACCAAGGCAAGTTTTTATTTGAGCTCTTTCTGTTTTTTCAGCCTTGCTGTAATCATTTTAACCTCAGAATCTTTTACATTGAAGGTACTTTTGTAAATTGTAAACATTTGGTTGTGTTTCATGTGGCTGATTGTTAATTCTACTTAATAGTTGTAGTCCTGGTTCAGCTGTGGTACAAATTTGGAATCATAAATGTCTTTGCAAATCTTAGATCTGTGCCAAAGGAAGATATATAACTAATGGATCAAGTAGAGCAAATTTTTGTTATGATGGCAAAGTGCTAATGATTGGTAATATTCATATATATAATCCTCTCATGACCCATTCTTTCACTATAGGCTGCATGAGAACCTTGTCTGTGAGATCCTTTCTCCCCACCAGGTTTCAGTGAGTTCAGGTCATAAATAGGAGACCAGTACCCCAAAGGACCCCAGTCTGTAAATAAAGAAAAATGACTTGTCATGTTTTTGAGATACATTAATTTATTCTTCACAGCAAGTAACTTTAGTATTTCCTAGCTTCTTTTGAATTTCTCTAATTATACTGAGTCTGTGCATCTGACTAGAGTAACCGTATCTTAATTACCTTTTCTTCAGTTATTCTAAAGTATGGTAAGGGTGAAGTTAGTCTTGGGATCCTGTTTTCATGCCAGTTTTATCTTTTTAAAAGCTGTGTATACAATATACTTCACAGGAAAGTATAGATGTTTGAAAATTGCTTTTAAATAAGTTGGACATGCTGTTTTAGCAGTTTCAAGCCATTGAAGGTGAAAGCAACACTAAAATAGATTTGAAAGAGGTACTGTCACTAATTAATGGATGTTAAAATATAATAAAAACAGAAGCCACTGAAAGAAAATAATGTTCTGATAGGATATATTTGACTCGTAAGTATTTTGTTTTGTTTTGTTTTGGAAAACAAGTGATAGATTGTGGAGTAATCAATTTATTCTAGATCAGGCACATTCAAGGAATCTATTGTCACATTTTGTAGTTGTTATTTGGAGTAATTAGATAGTTACTTCATTCTGGCATAGACAAGGCACCTAATTTGATTTTGATCTTTATAGAAAGAAAGGATTTCATTTGTTAATGGAATTGCTTTTTTTATTTAGAAAGGATGATTTTTTTTTCATTTGCACACTATATGAAAGTTGGCTTATGAGTATAGAATAAGGCAACTTCTGCATCCCCTTCAACTAAAAAATGATACATTTTGATTATTTGTATTGCTTTTTTAAGTGAGGAAATGAAAACTCTCTTGAACCCCGAGTATCTGGAACATGATGCCTAGTAAGTACAAAAGTTCTATTATTTTAATTTTTTATGCCATTTCTACTTCAATGAGGGTTTAACATTAGCACTGTATTATTTTCTAATTTTTAGTGCGATGTTCTCACAACTTATGGAAACTGCTGAACCTTGGTTTTCTACTTTTGAGCATGATGGTCAAAAGGCAAGTGTTATAGTACAGATCTTTTCAATATATTTGAGGGAACAAATGATTTCAGTAAGTAGCAACGTCTAATCAGAGAATCAAAGCCATTATTATTACTATAAAAAAAACAAAAATCTAAAAATCTATGGAATAAGATTGAATTGGGGATCTAAACCATATTGCTAATAATATTGGCAGAAATATAAAGGTAAAATTAAAAATTTAATGTAAATAGAAATTTTATTTTATATGTATATTATCCATGCAATAGAACTTCTTACTTGAAAAATTATTATAAATTTTGAATGACAAATAACATTTATCTGCTTGATCTATTGTTACACAAGTGAGTTGATAGACATTTTGTTACTGAAGCGCCTAGACAAACTGTGTGAAATAGGCTGTCTTATTTTTACTAATACATCACTGTTGAATTTACACATTTAGCTTCAATACCATCATTTATCATTTACTCTCTTTTATTCTTTTTAACTATAATTTTTATTATGTGTTATAACCAATATACCATAACATTGACCTTTAAAGTGTACAATTTAGGGGCGCCTGGGTGGCTCACTCATTAAGCGTCCGCCTTCGGTTCTGGTTGTGATCCTGGGGTCCTGGGATTGAGCCCTGCATCGGGCTCCCTGCTCAACAGGAAGCCTGCTTCTCCCTCTCCCACTCCCCCTGCTTGTGTTCCTTCTCTCGCTGTCTTTCTCTGTCAAATAAATAAAATCTTTAAAAAAAAAAAGTAAAAAAGTGTACAATTTAGTAGTTTTTAGTATACTCACAAGATTGTGCGAATGTCCCTATTATCTGATTTGAAAATATTTTCATCACCCCAAAAGGAAATCCCATACCCATTAACAGTCACTCTGCATTCCCTCCGTTTCCCAGAGTCTCTGGCATCACTAATGTACTTCCACTTTCTATGAACTTGCCTATTCTGGACATTCCATATAAAATGGAACCATTTAATATGTGGCCTTCTGTAATTGACTCCTTTCACTTAGCATAATGTTTTTAGTGTTCATTCCTGTTGTAGCATGCATCAGTACTTCACTCCTTTTCATGGCCAAATAATATTTCACCATGTGGATATACTACATTTTGTTTATCCATACATCAGTTGATGGACATTTGGGTTCTTTCACTTTTTGGTTATTAAGAATAATGAGGCTGTGAACATTTGTGTACAAACTTTGTGTCTACATATATTTTCAATGCTCTTGGCATTTCTCTAGGAGTAGAATTGCTGAGTTAACTGACGTCTTAAACAAACATATATGCTAACTTAGAGATCATTATGGTGTTTTCATTGTTATTACACAATATTAGAAGAATATTAGAAAAAATGTCAATTATTCTGGCAAGGGATGTCATTAAGAGTTTTTGGTATATATATATATTATATATATGTATATATATAATATATATATTTTTTCTATATGATTAATTCATTTTATATTGATATAATTGATTGCATTCTGGTTAGAAACCATATATTATTCTGTCACTTTATTCCATCTCTTAAAAAAATGAAATGGATAACTAATGCTTTTTATGCCTTTGGTCTAGATCAGGGCAGACTACTGCCTGCAGGCCAATTTGGCCTGCCATCTGTTTTTATACAGCTTGGGAGTTAAGCATGGCTTTTACATTATTAAATGGCTGAAAAGCTATCAAAAGAAGAATAATATTTTGTGGCATATGAAAATTATATGGAATTCAGATTTCCATGTTCATAAAAAAGTTTTATTGGGAAATAGCCATGTCTGTTTGTTTCCTTACTGTCTATCGCTGCTTGCTCATTACAGTGGCTCATTACAAAGTTGAGTAGTTGCAACACAGACGGTATGACCTATAAAGCCTAAAATATTTACTATCTGGCCTTTACAGAGAAAATTTGCTGATCTTCAGCCTAGGTGATAAATTCTTTCTTTATTAATATATCAACATGTTACATTCTCTAAGTGTTGTTAGAGGTGAAACTTGTAAGCATATTTGATGAACTACCATGTTTTAGAACAATTACTTTATATTTGTTCTTGGCAGGAGATTTAATGAAGTCATAGGCTTATGTGAAAATCAAAATTTTGAGCAGAAAGTATTTGAATACATTTAAATAAAAGCATCATGACCTCTTTATGCAGTGGTCATTTTGTATTTTATAACTGACTCACAGTATCTGCAAAAGTGAATAATAAAAATGTGAGCATTACCACTTTTCAGTTTTACCCATTCATGTTGATATCACTGAATCAAGTTCATGAAAATGGCTAAGACAACACGAAGAAGGATATTTACTCATTGTATCAAGAAAAAACACATAGATGCAACCTCTGAACATTTATGTTACTTGTATATATCAACGAATAATATATTCCTGAAAAGCTTATCTAGTGAATCCCTCTTTCATTGTCCCCTTTTTATTCTATGCCTTGATTCTATCACCTTTTTTAAAAGAAGTTTGAGAAATTAATATACTACTGTCTTTCAGTTCTTCTAGTTCCCTTGACAATTCAGTTCTATCACTGTGCATGTTGCCTCGGCCAGCAGACATACTTTCCATAATGAGACTCTCTTGATGAAGAAAGCAGTGTGTTGCTTTACATAGTGGTGTAGAATTATCTCGCTGAATCCTTGTAACAGTTTGTGGACTGGCACTGACCTGTAGAGCACTTTTTGAGTACCACTTAATAAATGGTTAAAAAGACTGCTAGTTTTGTTGGAGCTTGTAGCCATCCCATATGATTATATTTGTTAAATGCAAATAGCATTTTTATGGTGATAAATCTTTAAGATAAGGAATATCTTATATTAACTAAAATTTTCTCTTTTGGTTTCACTGTTAGATAAGCTGTTTACCATTTAAATGATCATGAGCATTACTTGTGAGTTTCTTAAATTTAAGAAATTTTGTTGTAAGTATTCTGAGCACAGGGGAAATCTTTTCAAACTACATATTTAAGTCTGTAGTTCTTAAGCTACACATGAGTCTCTCTTCAGTATTTGATAAATGGACCATATAGGCTGTTGATTTAGTGACAACTCATTCTCTTCAACCTGGAAATTGATTACATTATTTCTTAAGTTAAACCTTTGTTAACAGGTTAATTTAGGATCAGTTCTCTCCAAAGCCAGTGATTGTATCTTTATAGAAGTGTGTTTATTCAAGACCCTTAGAAGATGACTAGGTGTAGTGACCTGTTTCCCACGTGGTTGTTAGAAACCCTACCTGACCTCAGTGCCTTCATCCCACACAATATGGTATTCAGCCACACAAGGTTCTTCAGTAAAGAAAAACTACATGATTAAAATAAGCAAAAAGTTGAGTTGTTCATTTTTAAAGGAAAGTTGGCTTCAGCGTAAACAGTATCTCTTGAATGTGAATGGTATCCTAAAATTAACATGAATTCCCCCCCCCAATTATTTCAATTTAATATCAGTAGGAAAAAAATTGAGCAAGAATTAAGATTTTTTAAAAATATAGCATCCTGTCATTTGAAGAGAATACTTGATATTATAAAATCAGAAAATGGTATCTTGGTTGTACTATTTTTATAATAAACTACCACAACATAGAGGTATCTTTTTCTCCTATCTATACAAATTAGCAGAAACTACTTGAGCCATAAAAATCAGTATGGCCTTACATCCCTCAGACCTACAGATGCTGGTGCAGACACTGTAGGAAGTACTAAAGACTATATTTCTTTTTAAGACTTGAAATGATCCTGGCAAGACAGATGGAACCTCTTCCAGGAAGTTTTTCCTAATGCTAACACATGCCCCTCATCTCCTCTTTCTTTCTACCAGCTTGATTAGTCACTGCTCTATTGTGGATTTCTACATTTTTTTCTGCATAATCTTCCCCTCCAGACTACAAGGGCAAGAGCTTTACCTTCTTTATTTTTTTTTTTAAAGATTTTGTTTATTTGAGAGAGAGAATGAGAGAGAGAGAGAAAGCATGAGAGGGTCAGAGGGAGAAGCAGACTCCCTGCTGAGCAGGGAGCCTGATTTGGGACTCGATCTCGGGACTCCAGAATCATGACCTGAGCGGAAGGCAGTTGCTTAACCAACTGAGCCACCCAAGTGCCCGAGCTTTACCTTCTTTATTTTGTCCCCATGAATGTGGTGCAGTGATGATAAGATGATGTTCCTTTTAGAGATCTCATGGTTTAGGAACCAAAGAAGTAGAAACAGATACTGTAGAGGTAAAGAAGAAGATGATGAAATAGGACCTGACGCTTGAGCCAAATCTTTATGAACACTGGGGAGCTCCTCTGTAGAAACACTGGGGAGGGGATATTTCAGGTAAAAGAATGGCATCCCCAGGATCTCTGGAAGCACAGTGAGAGTAGAGGCTGACCAGATAATGAAGGCCTTATAGACCTGGCTCAAGAATTTGTCTTTTGTTTTTGTTTTTGTTTTTCCTGAGGAGGGCAACTGGGCGTAATTTAATACCTGTTTTAGATGGATCACCAGGCATTTCGGAAGCTAGATTTAAAAGCAGACTGAATTAAGGGCAGTGAGACCAGTTAGGAGGAAAGAAATGATTAGGACCCCAAATCAGGTTATAGCAGTAGAGCTGTAGGAGAGGAGACATAGTAAGAGTCTCCCGAGTGGTTCTGAGGAGCTAAAATTGGCAAAGTGGGTGTTCTTATTGGAGGATGGGTTAAGGTAAGCATGGGGAAATGATGAACATGTTTTTGAGCAGAAGATGATAGCTCAGTAGTGGGCCTGCTGAATTAGAGACCCTTTTGTAACCTAAGATTCCTTACCAACATATAAATGTATGGGAGAGAACCCAAGAAGGTTCTAGGTTATGAATACAGATTTGGAAGTCTTTGGAAAATGGGCATTGTTGTATGAGTATGATCACTCAGGGAATCACATGCAAGTAGAGAATTAGACTAGGACCAGACCTGTATGAAAAAGCAGCATTTGCAAAGCAGAAACAAAAATTTGAGCTAGAGAAGTAGAGTGAGGGAGTGGCAGGCAGTCATAAGAGAATGATGCTATAAATCTCAAGATTGGAGAGAGGTAGAAATTGAGGACTCAACATAAGAAAGGTTAGACATAGGGACACCTGAGTTTCTCAGTCAGTTAAGCGTCTGCCTTCGGCTCAGGTCATGATCTTGGGGTCCTGGGATGGAGTCACTGGTTGAGCTCCTTGCTCAGCAGGGAGCCTGCTTCTGTCTGCCTGCCACTCCCCCTGCTTGTGCTCAGTCTCTCCCTCTCTCTCTCTCTCTCTCTCTCTCTGACAAGTAAAAAAATAAAATCTTGAAAAAAAAGAAAGGTTAGACATCATATATTAGGGGAAAACATCATACTTGAGAGGGTGGTTGAAGTTTACATGAAAGCATTACAAGCAGAACAGATATATCTTTCTTAATGTGAGATTTGGAAGGGGAAGAAGGAAAGTTGTAGTTGGCCTACATAGATTTTTTTTTTTATTATTATTCAGCTGTACTTTTGATCTGGAGAGTTTAAAAATCTTCCTACTCAGCTATTTAATTTGATCAAAGGACAGTTAGAAAATATCCTCTTTTCTAATACTAGTTTCCTTTATTTCCTAACTTTTTTATAGTTTGGAGAGCTCAAAGTAAAACATTTTTCATTTACTGTTTTTCATGTTTAAGTTTTATGCCACAAGAAATATGTTGTCATCAGAGTATTCCATTTAGGTCCTATGGCTGATTAGACAAACTAACTATAAACAAGTAGACTAGCAGCTACCACTACCTGTAGTGAAAAATTATCTTGAAATACTCCATGTCACCAGAGAAACTGGTCAAGGGAATACAAGTAGGAAATATTTTAGAAGGCATTTCCTGGCCTTTATTTGATGAGCATAATCATCTGTATGATGATCAGCATATGATTCTACATTTAAGCATGTGTCATGAGATGATTAAAGTAGTTATTGGTTCTTATTTTCGCTCCCATTGATAAATACATTGAAGAATGATGTCCATATATTTGTTCATTTCATATTGAAATAACACATGCTCCATTTTTTTCTCTTTTTAGGGGAAAGAAACACTGATGACTCCCATTCCCTTTGCTAGACCACAGGATTTAGGGCCAACAATTGCTATTGTTACTAAAGTCAACCAGATCCAGGATCATCTACTGAAGAAGCATGATATTGAGCTTTATATGCACTTGAACAGACTAGAAATCGCACCACAGATATATGGGTTGTAAGTACTAAAGTTTAAGTTTCAGCTACATCTAATTATGACTTAATGGTGGTTTCTGTATGTCTCAGATCCACAGAGGGAAGACCAGAACTGTTCCAGCTCCATTTCATTTCATATGACTTTTGTGTCTTATGTGCCAGGCTCTGTGTTATTACTTTCACATGCGATATTTCATCCAATACTCACACCAGTCCTGTTAATTGAGTGTTGTACGGGGGGAAGAAACTAAGGCTAACACTGCGTTTAGACATATTAAATAGTGAAATCTTAATTTGGATTCAGGAAGGATTGGCTCCATAATCTGCAGAGCCCAGTGCAAAATAAAACTGAATGCCCCTGTAAAAAAAAAAAAAAAAAAAAAAAAATAGCAAGAATTTCAAGATGACAGCAGCAGATCATTAAGCCAAGCATTCTAAGAAGTACAGGGTGACACAGATCATACACACATGAAGCTAGCCCCAAACCTAAACAAACATATACGATATCCATGTGCTTTCCATTTTATTGGGAAGTGCTTCCTAAAAGATAAATGTTCCTCACAGTAAACATAATATGGTAATCATCTTCAGCCAATAACTTCTCCAACATACTATAGCAGAAGAATAGGGAGCCATTCCTCAGATATGTGTGTGTGTTTGTATGTATATTTATTCAGTGGCTTACTTTATAAGGTGGGTAGGAAAATTAGAAAGATTGCAGTTTTTGTTTGTTTTTTTTTTTTTTTATGTTATATTAATCACCATACTATTACATCATTAGTTTTTGATGTGGTGTTCTGATTCATTGTTTGCGTATAACACCCGGTGCTCCATGCAGTACGTGCCATCTTTAATACCCATCACCAGGCTAAACCATCCCCCCACACCCTCCCCTATAGAACCCTCAGTTTGTTTCTCAGAGTCCATAGTCCCTCATGGTTCCTCTCCCCCTCCAATTTCCCCCCTTTCATTCTTCCCTTCCTGCTACCTTTTTTTTTTTTTTTTTAAACATATAATGTATTATTTGTTTCAGAAGTACAGGTCTGCGATTCAACAGTCTTGCACAACGCACAGTGCTCACCACAGCACACACCCTCCCCAGTGTCCATCACCCAGCCACCCCTCCCCTCCCACCTCCACCACTCCAGCAACCCTCAGTTTGCTTCCCGAGATCAAGAATTCCGACTTATTACGCTCAGCATAATACCCTCCAGTTCCATCCACATCCTGGCAAATGGCAAGATTGCTTTCCTTTTGATGGCTGCATAATATTCCATTGTATATATATACCACCTCTTCTTTATCCATTCATATGTTGATGGTCATCTTGGCTCTTTCCACAGTTTTGCTATGGTGGACATCGCTGCTACAAACATCGGGGTGCACGTACCCCTTCGGATCCCTACATTTGTATCTTTGGGGTAAATACCCAGTAGTGCAATTGCTGGGTGGTAGGGTAGCTCTATTTTCAACTTTTTGAGGAACCTCCATACTGTTTTCCAGAGTGGCTGCACCAGCTTGCATTCCCATCAACAGTGTAGGAGGGTTCCCCTTTCTCCACATCCCCGCCAAATATGTCATTTCCTGACTTGTTAATTTTAGCCATTCTGACTGGTGTGAGGTGGTATCTCGCTGAGATTTTGATTTGGATTTCCCTGATGCCGAGTGATGTGGAGCACTTTTTCATGTGTCTGTTGGCCATTTGGTTGTCTTCTTTGGACAAATGTCTGTTCATGTCTTCTTCCCACTTCTTGATTGGATCATTTGTTCTTTGGGTGTTGAGTTTAATAAGTTCTTTATATATTTTGGATACTAGCCCTTTACCTGATATGTCATTTGCAAATATCTTCTCCCATTCTGTTGGTTGTCTTTTGGTTTTGTTGACTGTGTCCTTTGCTGTGCAAAAGCTTTTTATCTTGATGAAGTCCCAATAATTCATTTTTGCCCTTGCTTTCCTTGCCTTTGGCGATGTTTCTAGGAAGAAGTTGCTGCGGCTGAGGTCGAATAGGTTGCTGCCTGTGTTCTCCTTTAGGATATTGATGGACTCCTGTATCACATTGAGGTCTTTCAACCATTTGGAGTCTATTTTTGTGTGTGGTGTAAGGAAATGGTCCAGTTTCATTATTCTGCATGTGTCTATCCAATTTTCCCACCACCATTTGTTGAAGAAACTGTCCTTTTTCCATTGGACATTCTTTCCTGCTTTGTCAAAGATTAGTAGACCATAGAGTTGAGGGTCCATTTCTGGGCTTGCTATTCTGTTCCATTGATCTATGTGTCTGTTTTTGTGCCAGTACTATACTGTCTTGATGATGGCAGCTTTGTAATAGAGCTTGAAGCCCAGAATTGTGATGCCACCAGCTTTGCTTTTCTTTTTCAACGTTCCTCTGGCTATGCGGGGTCTTTTCTGGTTCCATACAAATTTTAGGATTTTTGCTCCATTTCTTTGAAAAAAGTTGATGGTATTTTGATACGGATTGCATTGAATGTGTAGATTGCTCTAGGTAGCATTGACATCTTCTCAATATTTGTTCTTCCAATCCATGAGCGTGGAATGTTTTTACATTTCTTTGTGTCTTCCTCAATTTCTTTCATGAGTATTTTATAGTTTTCTGAGCACAGATTCTTTGCCTCTTTGGTTAGATTTATTCCTAGGTATCTTACGGTTTTGAGTGCAGTTGTAAATGGGATTGACTCCTTAATTTCTCTTTCTTCTGTCTTGTTGTTGGTGTATAGGAATGCCATTGATTTCTGTGAAATCTGTGATTTCAGCCATTTCATTGATTTTATATGCTGCCACTTTACTGAATTCCTCTATGAGTTCTAGCAGTTTTGGGGTGGAGTCTTTTGGGTTTTCCACATAAAGTATCATATCATCTGCAAAGAGTGAGAGTTTGACTTCTTCTTTGCTGATTCGGATGCCTTTTATTTCTTTTTGTTGTCTGATTGCTGAGGCTAGGACTTCAGTACTATTTTGAATAGCACTGGTGATAGTGGACATCCCTGCCATGTTCCTGACCTTAGGGGAAAAGCTCTCAGTTTTTCCCCTTTGAGAATGATATTCGCTGTAGGTTTTTCATAGATGGCTTTTATGATATTGAGGTATGTACCCTCTGTCCCTATTCTCTGAAGAGTTTTAATCAAGAAAGGATGCTATACTTTGTCAAGTGCTTTTTCTGCATCTATTGAGAGGATCATATGGTTCTTGTTCTTTCTTTGATTAATGTATTGTATCACATCGATTAATTTGTGGATGTTGAACCAACCTTGCAGCCCAGGGATAAATCCCACTTGGTTGTGGTGAATAATCCTTTTAATGTACTGTTGAATCCTATTGGCTAGTATTTTGGTGAGAATTTTTGCATCCATGTTCATCAAGGATATTGGTCTGGAATTCTCCTTTTTGATGGAGTCTTTGTCGGGTTTTGGGATCAAGGTAATGGTGGCCTCATAAAATGAGTTTGGAAGTTTTCCTTCCATTTCTATTTTTTGGAACAGTTTCAGAAGAATAGGTATTAATTCTTCTTGAAATGTTTGGTAGAATTCCCCTGGGAAGCCATCTGGCCCTGGGCTCTTGTTTGTTGGGAGATTTTTGATCACTGCTTCAGTTTCCTTAGTGATTATGGGTCTGATCAGGTTTTTTATTTCTTCCTGGTTCTGTTTTGGTAGTTGATACATCTCCAGGAATGCATCCATTTCTTCCAAATTACCTAATTTGCTGGCATATAGTTGCTCATAATATGTTCTTATAATTGTTTGTATTTCTTTGGTGTTGGTTGTGATCTCTCCTCTTCCAATCATGATTTTATTTATTTGGGTCCTTTCTCTTTTCTCTTTGATAAGTCTGGCCAGGGGTTTATCAATCTTGTTAATGCTTTCAGAGAACCAGCTCCTAGTTTCGTTGATCTGTTCTACTCTTCTTTTGGTTTCTATTTCATTGATTTCTGCTCTGATCTTTATTATTTCTCTTCTCCTGCTGGGTTTAGGCTTTATTTGCTGTTCTTTCTCCAGCTCCTTTAGGTGTAGGGTTAGGTTGTGTACTTGAGACCTTTCTTGTTTCTTGAGAAAGGCTTGTATTGCTATATACTTTCCTCTTAGGACTGCCTTTGCTGCATCCAAAAGATTTTTTTTTTTTTTTTTTTAGATTTTATTTATTTGACAGAGAGAGACACAGCGAGAGAGGGAACACAAGCAGGGGAAGTGGGAGAGGGAGAAGCAGACTCCCCGCAGAGCAGGGAGCCCGACGTGGGGCTTGATCCCAGGACCCTGGGATCATGACCTGAGCTGAAGGCAGACACTTAACTGTCTGAGCCAACCAGGCGCCCCCCAAATATTTTGAATAGTTATGTTTCCATTTTCATTTGTTTCCATGAATTTTTTAAATTCTTCTTTAATTTCCTAGTTGACCCATTCATTCTTTAGTAGGATGCTCTTTAGCCTCCATGTATTTGAGTTCTTTCCGACTTTCCTCTTGTAATTGAGTTCTAGTTTCAAAGCTTTGTGGTCTGAAAATATGCAGGGAATGATCCCTATCTTTTGGTACCGGTTGAGACCTGATTTGTGACCTAGGATGTGATCTATTCTGGAGAATGTTCCATGGGTGCTAGAGACGAATGTGTATTCTGTTGCTTTGGTATGGAATGTTCTGAATATATCTGTGAAGTCCATTTGGTCCAGTGTGTCATTTAAAGTCTTTATTTCCTTGTTGATCTTTTGCTTAGACAATCTGTCCATTTCAGTGAGGGGGGTGTTAAAGTCCCCCACTATTATTGTATTGTTGTCAATGTGTTTCTTTGCTTTTGTTATTAATTGGCTTATATAACTGGCTGCTCCCATGTTAGGGGCATAGATATTTACAATTGTTAGATCTTCGTGTTGGATAGACCCTTTAAGTAGGATATAGTGTCCTTCCTCATCCCTTATTACAGTCTTTGGTTTAAAATCTAATTAGTCTGATAAAAGGATTGCCACCCCAGCTTTCTTTTGGTGTCCATTAGCATGGTAAATGGTTTTCCACCCCCT